GTCTTGTTGGGGTTAAATAAGGTCTGGGGGTAGAGGGATAGGGGATGAGACTGGGGAGGGCACGGGAATGGGTCCATAGGGCAGGGTTGGGGCATCTGGGGGTAGTGTCAGAGGGCCCAAGGGCCCAGAAAGTCCCACACCAGTCCCAGAGGGCTTAGCCTGAGACCCACAGGTCAGTCCTTTCCATGCACCCCCACTCCTGTGCTCCCATCCCATCCCCATTGCATGTACACGCTCTCCTGCCAAGACATTTGTCCCTCCCCACCAACCTCTTCCTTCCCTGCATCTCCCATAACCTTGTCTCCCTGCCAGCACCCCGGGGACCCTGTGCTCCCCTCCACTGTGCTTTCTCACACTCAGTTTGGCATCATCAGCAAAATTCCTCAGGGTACACTTGATCCCATCATCCAGATCACTAATGAAGATATTAAACAGTGTTGGGCCCCATATGGATCCCTGGGGAACCCCGCTTGTGACAGGTTGCCAGTCTGAAAAAGAGCTATTTACCACCACGCTCTGGGTGCAGCCTGTCAGCCAGTTCCCCACCCACCACACTCCCTGGGGCAAAAGAAAGCATGTGTCCCTCTCGCCAGGAACGCCTGGCACAAGGCAGCAAGACATGCCCAGCTGAGTCCCTCTCCAGACAGAAGGATGAACAAGCAGCAACACGGAGGTGACAGAGAAGCAGCAGCCAGGAGAGGGCTGGGCAGCAGCCTGCCTGTTTATACACCTGCAAGGGTTCCTGCTTCTTTCCCTCTTCGCTTTGTGGGTTAAATATTGCTCCCAGCACAGCTAGTGGTCTCCTCAGGTAGGTGGTTGCTTCAGCCACACTCTCTGGAGAGGGGCAGCTCCCAAAGATGCACAGTACAGCCCCCACTCACCTCCCCCATGGGCCAGCCCTCCCTTGTCTGCGTACCAGGAAAGGCGAGGGTGCACTATGTTCATCCCTTGTCTCGTACCAGGAAAGGCGAGGGTGCACTATGTTCAGAGATGTCGAAGTAGGTGACATCAACGGGCAGGGTGGCGTGCTGGGGGCAGTAGGAGCCACTGGCACTGATCTCTGCCGTGAACCCCTCGATCCTCCCTGATGATGCAAAGCGCCCTTTCAGGATGGACTCCTGAGAGAGGAGGGAAGTGTTAGGGACCTTCAAACACAAGTCCTGCCCCTCGCCTCTAAGCTGCAGGTGAGATCACTCCCATCTCCACCGCAACCACGTCTGCTTGCCCTCGTGTGTCTTCCAGCTCTCTGGAGACCGCCTGTGAGTGGCTCCGTCTGTTCACTCCAAGACAGACCCATCCTGAATTGGTGGGCTGAAACCAGCCATCTAACACAGAGAAGCAGTGAGAGTGCCTCGGCTCAGCCAGTCAGCTCCACAGTGGCCCTCTCAGCA